CAAAAAAGCAAAAACAGAGATATTCATATGATTTCCTCTGCCTGCACACAGGAGAGGTGCCTCTGCTACCCAACACCCAAGGAAAAAACCAGACTGGACCGGCCGGTTCAACCGGAAAATCGGTGAACCGGTGGTTGGTTTGGTCTGGTTTGCTAAAAAAACTAGTGCTGGGATGAACTGTTTTTAAACCGATTCGACTGATAATAGCCGGTCAAAACCGAGTAGGTGGACGGTTAGATGGGTTGCTTGGTTCGTAATTTTTTTTTTTAAAACCTCCAATCCTACAAAAGGATGTCGTTTAACATTGGAAAAAAAAAATCAGACAGCCAAGTCAAAATCAAAGGCAAGGCTCCCTACTCACATGTAAGAGCCATGAGAAATAAAAAGAAAGTCCATCTGAAAAACAGAGAAAGAGGGTGAGAAAGAACAGAAGGAAAATAGAGGAAGAGATACAAAAAATAACTTACTGGAAGGGAAAACTCCTGAAAAATCATGATGAAAAATGAAGTGAAATTTTTAAAAGGTAAAGAGCATGGAAGAGGGAAGAGAATATGCTTCAGGAGGTGAGCACTCAAGTGTCGTTGTGTGAGATGAAGATCGGAAAATTGAGAGAGGAAGAAGCTCCAATAAGGCCACAGTCCAGGATTCAAAATGAAAATGAAAAGATGGACAAGGCAATAATGACAGAGTTAACGTGTTGCAGGTAGTATTAGTACTCTTTTTCTTCCTTTTTTCATTCTCCAAAGCTCAGTCATCCACTCCCTATGTTCATTTAATAGGATATTTTTAAATATTATTTTTATTAAAATATTTTTATAATAAAAATGAATATTTTTGAAATTTTATTTAAATTTTTTTTAAATAATTACCGGTCTGACCCCAGTTCAACCCTAATCTGACCTATTAACCTTTAACCCACTATCTCAACTGATTTAGTACTCAATCAGGTTTTTGTTCCTAAACACCTCCCCGAACAAAAAAAACTTTTGTACCACTTTTGGGTCCAGAGAGTATCTCAAAAGGGAGGGGATAACAGCTGATCCTACTTTTGCTAGCAATTACTTGGGCCTAGATAACATTTTGAACGGTAATTGTGCTCTGCAACAACAAGATACATACAGTGGCAAGTCAGAAATGGAATTTATGTCAACTTCTTCAATGATAAGTGGTTATTTCCAGATTAAAAAATAAAGGAGTTGTGTTTAAGACCTTTATCAAAGGGGAGAATGGTTCGACAGTAGTTGATTGGGTTGCTCATGGGTCATGGGATTCCACGAGGCTTGGTACTGAAACAACGCCTTATAGCTAGACTCCCACCATTATCAAATTTGGAAATGACGTGATGATGTGGAAAGGTACTAGCCATGGTAATTTCACTGTGAAAAGTGCTTATTTCTTGATTGAGAGGAACCCTCCTAATTTATATAGCTCTACTTATAAATTGATTTGGCATTGGCCAGGAGTTTAAAAAAATAAGAGTTTTTATGTGGTTAGTCTATAATAATAGATTACCCACTGATGCTTCACATAGTAAGTGGTCTGCCACATCCGCTTCATGTCATTCTTCTAATTTAGAGGTTGAGGATATCTTACATGTGCTTGGAGATTGCCAATATGCTACATAGATGTGGTTACAACTTGTGGATTCTAAATTTCATAATGCCTTCTTTGCTGTATCTTTGAGAGAATGGATTACCTTGAATCTTAAAAAGAAATTAGGAAGACATTTGTTTTCAAGGTGGAATCTTATCTGCGAAGTTGCTTGCTGGACACTTTGGCTATGGCGAAACAATACTATCTTTATGAATGATTTTGTGAAACCAGAAAAAATCCTGCTTTCACTATTATGCAGACTTGGAAATTATTTGTGTAGATAAATGAAACCCCTACTATGGGGAATCAATCAATGTCTAGTAGCTCTATTAAATGGCAACTCCCCCTGTTGATTGGGTAAAAGTCAATGTAGATGGGGCAATGTTAGCATCAACAAGTAGAGGAAGCTATGGAGGAGTGATAAGAGATGAATATGGGAATTGGATTGTAGGGTTTTCACAAGCTCTTGGTTTGTGCAGCGTTCTTGAGTTAGAAGAATGGGCTGTGTATAAAGGTCTCAAATTAGCCTAGGATATGGGGTTTAAAAAAATAATTCTTGAATCTGATTCAAAAAAAGCGGTAGACATAATTGTTGGAAATAGGAACAAGTCCATCTACAGTCTCATGATCATTCAGATTATGAATATGCTAAAGCTTCATTGGGAGGTGAAAATCACTAGACAGTAAAACCGAGTAGCAGACTCTCTTGCAAAGGACAGGTTATCCAAATCTACTTTTTTGGCTTCATGTCCTTCTCATCTGAGGGCGTTAGTTTCTGAAGAGTGTTTGGGATCTAGATCCCTGCCTACTTAATTTGCTTTGTTTTGGGTGTTGCCCTCTTATGTAACCAAGAAAAAGAAAAAGAACATAGAAGTAATCAAAACAATTAAGAAGATGTTTTAATGGAATCAAAACTATTGTTTTAAAAGTGATTTTACGATATACGGAATAAATATGGAGAAGTTTATCTTGATTTGTGAAAAAATGTTTTTAAAAAAGCACTTTTCTTGATTCCCAAATACCCTTAAATTTAGTAAAAAGAGCTAGTCTATCACAATGTAATAAATCGAGGTTTGAATTCGTACTGAAAGAAGTTTCTGATAATACCTCAAGCAAGATTACCTCCAATAAAAAACTATCTGCACTTAGCCATAAAAAAAAAAACATCGAGAAGTGGATATGACACTATATTTTAACTCAAATCTTAAATCACTGATTGCATAGGTCCTTTTCACTTGTACGTTTCTTTTCTAGTCCACCGATATAATACTTTTCCACAAATCAAGCCAAATCTACTCACATTTGACATCTTAACACTGTTCATGGAAGGAATAGGAAGGATAAGCCAGAACCTTATAGGGAATTTCATTTATAATCATATTTTAATGTTAAGGGTAATTTAGTCAATTACTAGACTATCATTTCTATTTTTTTTAAATAATCCATTCCAGTACGCCAATTTAGGGGAAGAGCAGCAATAGCTTTTTGTTCTGGAATATGGATCCCAACCCCAAGGGGTCACATGGTTTGGAGTTCCTTCATCGCATTTTCCGGAGGCAATGGGTTCCAATTCGGGAGTAAGCTTCCATTCGTTTCTTTCAGGGGAAAAAAAGCCTTTATTCTCTATTATGTCCTTTGCTTCCCCAAAACTCCATTTCAAATTCAAACAAACAGGCCACAAATACATAATTATGCACCTTTGACCATTAACATCAACCAAACGTTTTTATTATTTTATATTTTCATTCAATGCAAGTAATTAATGACATATAGTATAAGAAACAGAGTTAATTCTTTCTACCAAGAAATGTTCATCATCCTCCCTATTTTCTACAACCCCTCATAAATGTTATTCCACGCATGCATGACTTTTCCGACCTTATTTTCACTATTAGTTTGCCTGCAAGTTTAATCAATCTTTTGGCTTGACAGCTATATAAAATATACTATATGCTTCCTCCCTTTTCTTCTGTATATCTTTTTACCTTCCTTTGACGTAGACTCGCTGGAGATGGTACCCGACCCGGATCCGATTCCAGATGGTAACTGACCTTGGGTCCCACGTTCATGGTGTATGGTTTATTATCGGTGTCCAAGGCAAAGTCATAGTCAATTGCTGACGATGGAGGGTAGACATAATTGATAACACTTGACAGTTACACCATACATAAGAAGAAAGAGAACATAGAAACAGGTTCAAACATTTGCTTCCCTTTATTAGTTCATATAGTATTCTAAACATGCATCACTATGAAGAATTCAACGAAACCTAAACTGATCTGAATCCAATTAGGTAGGACTAAAAAACCGCAAAAATCTGTGAACTAGTATTTAATACGGCTACGCTCTTAAAATTTGAACTCAAGACTTCTGATTAAGTTAATACAATTCCCATTAGTTAAACCAAGATCTCGGTGTTTTCAAATATAATTTTTTTCTGCAGTGAAGAGAACAAATGAAAAGGCCCTGCCAACCCTCACCTCATTTTCAATTTCCTTGTAAACGGTAAGACGTAATAAGTGATGATAATGGAGAATGAGGTTGCAGTTTGCATTTCCTTTTCATACTATAAGCACAGCCCCACCACCACTTCTTCCCACCACCTATAGGTAAGCAAGCCCCATACCTACTTTTCCTTTCTCAGGCCTTCTCTTTTCCTTAAAGCACATATCTCTGTTTCTCTCTCTTCCTCCTTGTGCTGCTTCTGTCCCAGAAAAAATGCCAGGTTGTTGTGAGATTTGTTGTTGAGTATTATTCTAATTGAACTTCACTTGCTCCATACGTACTCCTTAAATTATTCCCTTGCTATCCAAATCCTTATATGGGATATTCTCCAAAACGCATGTAAAACATTCCAGTGTGATCTTACTTGTATCAATGAGGGTGTTATGGGATTAAACATCTCCATCCAATTACCTGTTTCCTCTGTTAGAATCTGCAGGTAAAACCCTCAAACAGAGAAAGAAACATTGAAGGTAGGTTCATCATGCCATTTGGGTTGGTCTCAGCCTGGAACAAGCGTCGCAGAAGCAAGTCTCAGGACCATACAGACCCCTGTATGTTTCTGTTTTCTCCTGTTTTTCTACTCTTTTTCTAATGCTACTTGTGCCAAGAGTGTTGTTTCTTTGTGCAACAACCTTAAAATTTAGATACTCATTTCAGGGATTTACAAACCTCTGGAGTTTTGGCAACTTGAAGAACAAGCAACCCGGCCCACAAAAAGGCAGCATGGGTCATCAGTATACACACTCAAGGAGATGGAAGAGGCAACAGGATCATTCAGTGATGATAATCTGCTCGGAAAGGGAGGATTTGGCAGAGTGTACAGAGGCGCTTTGCGTTCTGGAGAGGTAATATTTTCTGGATATAAGTTCCTAGCTAGAGGAAACTCATCATGATTCCTGAACTTCTTTTAATACTGATTCAATAAACAAATCGGGCTTTAGAGCTTTTAAACTGTTAGTGATACCACCATTTAATATAAACAGTAGAAAACAGTAATTCATGGCAAAGTAAACCAACAAGATTTTGTAACAACATGCGAAGACATGTTAACATGTTATTGTCTTCCTCTACAGGTTGTAGCAATCAAGAAAATGGATCTGCCAGCAATTAAAGAAGCAGAAGGAGAGCGAGAGTTCCGTGTTGAAGTTGACATCTTGAGTAGACTTGACCACCCGAATCTTGTTTCTCTAATAGGCTATTGCGCTGATGGAAAGCACCGGTTCCTGGTGTATGAATATATGCATAACGGGAACCTGCAAGATCATTTGAATGGTGTGTCATGTGCTCAAACCCATATTCATGTCAAAAATCCTAATATAAAACTCCTACTAATGCATGCCTCATTTTAGGAATTGGGCAGAGAAAAATGGATTGGCCTCAAAGACTCAAAGTGGCACTGGGAGCAGCAAGAGGTTTAGCATATCTCCATTCAAGTTCTGCTGTTGGAATTCCTATTGTTCACAGAGACTTCAAATCCACCAATGTTCTCTTAAATGCCAATTTTGAACCCAAGGTATAGATACGCTCCCAACCAAAGCGACTCGCAATATTCCTAAAAATACTATGTACCGAGATAAAATTAATTAGCTGTTTTCTTTTTCTTTTCTTTTGGTAGATATCTGATTTTGGGCTAGCTAAGTTAATGCCAGAGGGACAGGAGACACACGTGACCGCCAGAGTGCTTGGGACATTTGGTTACTTTGACCCTGAGTATACATCGGTATGCTTCTATGCATTTCTCCACTTGATTCAACACTATTTAGATTAAGTTTCTGCTGGATTTTTTAAGTGAGACCTACAATTGAGGATGAAACTATACTCCAATACATAACATTAAAGGGGGAAAATACTCATTAATAGTTGTAATGCAATAGACTTCCCACATCTAAATCATATCTTTAGGAATTTAATGATGCCTCAAAACAGGATTATATGCACAGAATATCCAGGAATTCAGTTTTTCATCGTTTCATCATAACTGATTAAGGCTGTATATCAACATTTCCAAACTTCTCTAAGTGAGTTTTATCAATGAATGAACAATAGGGGAACGACTGTTAATCGCGGCTGTGTTGATTAAGTCCACTATAAATACAGTGCCAACTTAAGTATTAGCCAGCAAAACCAAACCGAACCTCAATGCCAATACATTACGCCAACTGATAGAGAGCAGAAATAGGTCAACTTTTAAAATTGCGGTCCACTTCAGAAGTATAAGGATGAAATAATAACAGGAGTTTTTCACTATTGCAGATAAGTCAGGTTAACAGTTCCCCTCTAGCATGGGCAAGGGAAGACGTTCCCATTCACTCAATCTTTTGCCTTTGTAATTATTACTCAACAATTTTTTTTTGTAGCCGACCCCATCTAGTGGGATAAGGCTTGTTGTTGTTATAAAGTAGGGGCACAGAGAAATTTTATACCCACAAAATCTCTAATTTATGAGTCTTTTTACCAAGTAGGTTATCTTTGTAATGGTGTTTTCAATTCGTAGGAAATAGTCAGTTTGAATGACGAGCTTAAATATGTCTCACTCAACACATCAGTTTGGACTAAACAAAATCACGTCTAAGCAACGAGGACCTTATGTATCTTGTTTGTAGACGATCTTGAAACCAAGTTGCTTTGTTCATTTCTCTTTTTACATTACAAGTGCCCCTCCAATGCCATCGATTCAGACCTTAGATGGATAAAATAATAATAAAAGCCTTCAATAAAGGTTTGTGGAAAATCCCCTTGTTTCAGAGACTCAGAGTGAAAAGAGACAATTTTCAGAACCTTTTTAAATAGCTCAAGATTTTACGTCAAAGGTTTTTAGGCATGTTATCAAAACTTGGCTGATCATTGATTAAGTAGTTCACAGTACACAACCAAAATCTAATAATCAAGATTCCAGTTTAAAGTTTCATGCAGTTGTTGTGATGCTTGAATATGAGCTTCATTGAACACAATCCAAATAAGTGGCGCGACGACAAGTGGTACCTTTTATCACGTAATGGTAGTAAACTTGACATTACCTATCTATTTCTTTTTCTCTCAATGAAACATAACATTGCCCTATCACTCAAAAGCCTACATGTCCAGGGACAATGAAGCAGTATTGTGTCCAGATATTGCCACCCAAGATTTGACAGCATCTAACAATTAATTTATTTCCTTTGACAACAGACGGGGAAACTCACTCTACAAAGTGATGTTTATGCTTTTGGAGTTGTTCTTCTTGAGCTTTTGACAGGACGTCGAGCTATAGATTTAAACCAAGGTCCAAATGATCAAAACCTTGTATTACAGGTAAAAGAAAATATACATACTGAATGTTTCCTTGAGGATGTCAAAGCAACATATCAACCTAGAGAGTCATCGGCGCTATTACTTTCATTCATTCCACAACATTTGCCATTAGTAATAACTAGCTATTTTTCGTGACTTTCTTTCCTTTGTAACCCAATTTTGTCCTTGCATCCCTAAATATGAGTGGCAATTGTCTGCATTCTCATCGTAAAACATTCTGGTTTACATGTTTTAAAAGGGTTCGGGTTGATATTGTTCACATTGACATACAGGTGAGGAACATACTGAATGACCGCAAGAGGCTCCGCAAGGTGATAGACCCAGAAATGGCTCGAAATTCTTATACCATCGAGTCCGTAGCTATGTTTGCCAATCTTGCATCACGATGTATCCGTACTGACAGTAGTGAGAGGCCTTCTATGGCAGAATGTGTAAAAGAGCTGCAAATGATAATCTATACTAATTCAAAAGGCTTGGCAATGGTTATGCATAGTTTGAGAATGATCTAGTGAAATCCGATGTTTAGCAACCAGGTAAATGATGGTTTTCTATGGAGAATAAAGACAGCTATCATTCAGACAAGAAGCTAAATTATGGCCAGGAAGAAGTATTTGGCATAATTATATATGATGCATTGCTAATCTGGATGTTCCTAAAGGAGCCTCTCCACATCTGTTCTCCCACTCCCATCCCTCTGTCACAGGACAATAGTACCCACCGGACCAATACAAGAACAAACCACTTTTCTGGAAAATGTCCATCTACTAACATTACCATTTTGCTGCGTTGGAATTACTGACTTGATTCCACAGATTGGAAGAACATTACTCAAATGTAGAGACATACTTATAATATCAATATTTGATTGCATCAAAAAAATTCAAGGTGATTAGCTTTTCCATACTTCATGCGCTCTAGTACTACTGAGTTTCATCAAGAAACATGTCCCTAACTCAATTACTATATTTTTTTGAGGAGGGACATTACAAGATGATCAACACCATAAAACCTATTATTTTGTATTAAAAAGTTAAGTAATATTGACTGTTTAAGAAGAAAGTGTAATTCGCCAAACTAAAGGGGAGGAAACCCAGAAGACTAAATGTGATTTACCTGCTATACATAGTTTCTCAGCCCTATACATAGGGGGATTCAGGTAGGGATCCCTGAACCACTCATTTGATCCCTATTCATAATTCAACCCACCATGATGATTGTTGCTACTGCTTCTGAAATATGAAAAACACGGAAATAAGAAAATCTATCACAGGGCACATTCAAGCATATAATACTGAGGGAGTTCAATTGAGAAAAAAAAAAAAAGAAACAGAGCTTCCAACCAAAATTTGACAACGACAGTATGGCTTTAACCAAATAATTTAAACCCTTGCCTGTCCTCATGCAAACGTTTCTGTATCAGATTCTGATGCGGCTGACTCTGGAGGGTTACTCAAGAGAGGAAGTTTCTTGCGCATCAGGTGCTTGCGTCTCTGCAACATCAGCAGAACTAATACGCTATCTGTCTTTACAATTTTGTAGTCTGCCTTTTTATACATGTTAAGCGGAGCTGCATCAATCATTCTACAATGCAAATAAACTTCTCTTGAGGAACTCATCTGAGAAATTAGCTCCTCGCCTGCCTTTAGAAGATGCCAACCAATGCCCCTCCTGCAAGGAAATATCAGAAACAAAAAAACTTAGGATGCAAACTTCAAATACAGTGTCATCCAAAACTTAAATCAGACGAACTAAAGGGTTTAAAAGGAGGACTGCTTGGGACTTTTGAGAATAACATTATGTTCTAGGTTCCACAGCATGTGTATCATCGTGGAACAAAGTTGATAGAAATGGTACAGAAATGAATTCAAACAAAAAATTAAAACTAAAAAAAATTCCTATTTCTTGTTCAGAGTGTACATGCTATGGAATGTATAAGACTCATCAAACAACACATTGATTTGAAAATTACAGAATAAACCATCTAAAAAAGAAAGAAGAGAAAGAAGGATGACATTGATGACAAGAATCTCGGGCTTTTTGCTTACATTATCTATTGTTTTCAATTTAAAGGGATCACATCATGACATGCAAAAGTGGCAGCACGACCATGGAATTGCAAACTTACTCAACTTCTTGAAATCCAACATTTGGAAACAGGAAATCATATACATGTGGGCTGATACTCTGACCAAAGGCATGACCCTGGGGATGATGCCATTTGATGATTGCGATAATGATATTACTATCACCATAGTGGGTGATGGCATGAGCAGTTTCATTGTTTGAATTGCATGTTTCCTAATTCAAATTTCGAATTGCTACAGATAAAAGACACATCTGGAACTAAGCCAGGAGCAAGTCATACTTGTTTTTGTCCTCTATCTGTCCGCAGACAAGTACACCCAAGTTAGAATTGGAGAATGGACATACAAAAATGCATAGATTGAAAGACGAGTTGAGGATGGAGATATAAGATAAACTCAATGCATAAATGCATGGACTGAAAGACTAGTTATTTCAAGTTCTCACGATTCGATAAAGATTTTAATGATTAGAACATATTCAAACTATCTCATTTGGGGTTTTTTGTGTGTATTTTGGGGCAGGGGGGTTTCAAATTACAGTGCATGGAGGGATTTACAGAAGTCAAGTAGAAGACACAAAATAGCATCTTAAGCTGACAATAACAAACTAACTTTTCCATATACGACTGTTAGGCCTATGTGTTGCACAAGATAAATCAACGAACAAGCCCTCAAGATTCTGCCCAGTTCAATGTTTCCAACCGACAGTATGAATCACTATCAATCAAGTGACTTAGTTCATCACTTCACCAATTTAAGCCTTGTCTGAGCCGGGATACCGATTTTCCAATAACAAAGTATAAGCCCATGACGCTTTTAAATTATTGCAGTCGGAAGTTTAGAAGGCCCCAGAGAAGAAAAATCGAAAAAATCCCTTTTTCTAGACAAGGATCAGGCATACATACTGTGACAGTGATAAATTCGACAAAGAGCATTAATCCAAAAGAGACCCAACAGGTAACTTATTTAATTGATAAACTATTAAGGCAAAGAATACCTCCTAAAAGACTTTTTACGGCCATATTACTTATGTAAGGCGAATCTTTGGGAGGCGTTGGTGTTGGAGGAGAAGCATTGGCACCCATCTTGTTAAAACAAACCTCCACGGTCCCTGCCAACTGCACTTCTTGTTCTTCACCACCTTCCCCAGTTTCTTTGTAAAAACCGATAAGTGTAGCCATGTGCGGCATTTGAATTTTTCTCTCCATCAAGTACTGCCTCACCAAAAACTTCAACACAGAAACATAACCTACGGGTAATACCATTGACTCAGCAAAGGATTCGGCAAGCAACCCAATGGTCATGTCCATTTCCTCCGCCCCCATTACCCGAACCCACAAAGACCCAGATTCCAATTCCTTAAAATATAGGAAATTTTGAAGGAATCTAAGCTTTTCGAGCTCTTCATTACTCAGAAATCGCCCGGTGCGAAAGGGGTCTTCGTGGTGCGAAGGGGTTGGGGTTGTGGGTGTTGTTGAAGAGTGGGACGAAGAGGAAGATGAAGAAGACTTGAAGCTGCACAAGCCCTCTCTATGGAACGTAGTAAGTGGGTATTTATAGATGGGTGATAACCGAGTAAAGAAACGAGATTGCAGAGGTCCAGAGAGAGTATTGGGGCGGAGGCGACAGGGATAAAGAAGATTTTGTGGATCCAAAGGAAGGGAGAGGGAAATTGCTGCAGCCATGGAGTGAAATGGGAATGTTGCTTGCAGGGGTAGCAGAATTAGATTTCAGAAAGTATGCGAAGTCATGAGAATAGCAGCAGAAACGTATGTCACCATTCATGGGTCATCTTGGGATAAAAGAGAAGTGGTGAAACTGGAAAGCAGGGTTGTGAACGAAATCCAGCCACCTAATTTAACTCGACACTGGATCCATCCAAGTCCTACTTATGACCAGACAGGTGACTTATACGGCCCATCTTCATAGATATCTTTACGCAAACATGCATATGTTCATCAGAGATGTACTTTGCTCTCTTCTTCCGTTAAGCAGAGATGTACCTTTCTTTGTGTTATCGAAAAACGGAAGAGATATCAGATATGCCTTCCCTGCTCATAATCTAAAGCACGAATCTAAGCTGATTATTAACTCCACAGTTATGTTTTTTTTTCCCCCCAACCATAGTTTATGCTTTATTGTGAACTTGATTTTGTTATATACATAGATTGATGTCTCGTTGGCGGAGAAAAAAAAAAATTCATGACTGATATGGATACTGTCAATTTATACATAATTATACAATTTCGATTTGATTATATTCTGCTTTAATATTTTTTTAAAAAAATACATATAGTTTAAATTATAATTGTGATCATTGTTTTATTTTAAAAAAAGAAAATATAAATATTTTAGTTTAATTTAAAGAAATCAAAAGCAATATAATTTTTCATCTTTGGAGATGCATAAAGGATTTGTCTTCAGAAAACTTTAACTAAACAGTCTCGATTCTCAGGCTGCTAAATTACTAAAATCAGTTTTTATATCAATGTAAAACGCCAGATTAATTCAACGGGTAGAAATTAGAATTATGTATATCAAGAGAATCCAAATTCGTGTGATATTATTGGCATAGACAGCAGGAAAACAAAAAAAGCAGAATAATAACTGGTAGTTTCAAGGATTTAATGCGTGCGTAATTAAATTTGCTTAAATCTTACAATTACTAGTAAGGACAAATATTATTTTAAAAACAATAAGAATTATTTTTAAAACTAAGAGAACTTTTCTCATGCTGTACAAATAAATATTTTTTTCCTTCAATCCATTTCCCCATAATTTTGGAATTGAAAGCGAGAAATAGAGATGAGAATCTCTTTTACATTCCTGCGCCAAGTATTGGAATCCATTCTCATTTTTTGGGAAATTGAATTTTACCATCATGCCCCCACAAATATATGGAAAACTACAATATGTAAAAACACCAAAAACAAAAGAAAGAAAAATTTAATATTTTGCACAATATCTCTAGTTAGTCTGTGCCAAATAAATTTTTTAAGCAGATTAAGCTCCTGTGAAATCTGGGTACTTTACAACCTGGAGGAATTTTTGTGAGTAAAACGAACAGTACCCAACATTGATGACTACCCAATGAAGCAAGACAGAGAAAAATTGGCCAAGCACTTTGGGCAACTTCCAGCAATCCAGCTTCACATTCCTAATTTAAAGCATTTTGTACGTTTGGAGATCAGCCACCAACCTCATAATAAATTCCGAAAATACTATCATTGCCTCCTGGTAGAAACTGGTTCTTACCTTTCCATTTCCAATTTCCCTCTTTAAAATCAAATACAGGCGTTTCCAAATCCTCTTCCTTTCCTTTCCACCATACGGAGGAATCAATAAACCAATAATGAATCATTCACTCCCAAGAAAAAAAGAATTGCCTCTCCCCTACATGGAGGAAAGCATTCATAAATAATCACAGAGCCAAATCAGCAAACAAGCGAGAAATAGAATACCTCATTTCATACTGTCCTCATTCTCCCATTTCTTCACCATTTGCAGAAAAATTTCATTCCATGTGTCTATAGGACCTGGCCAACCAATGAACACAATCATTCTGAACACGTTCTTGAGCTCCATTTGCAAATGGAAAAGGATTCATATAAGGACCTGGATGCCCATCTGGTCTCATCAATGCTAATTTTGTCACATCCAATGCTTCTGATCTAAACCCTCTATGGTTATTCTTCTTAGCTTTTTCTTTTGCAGCTTCCACTTCTTCTATCTCAATCTTTCTCATATCACTATCCATTCCCTCTAGTTCCTTTTCTCCCTTTCGGTAAGGCTTAGTCTTTGGACAAGCGCCTGCTTTATCCCACTCACCTTCAAAATGTGAAGGCGAAAATGTTGTCACTGTCACATCAATTTCTTCCCTTTTTGCTGATTTCTTCTCAATGATGCTATTAAGGGCAGTTCTTAAGGCGTTTCTTAACACATCGTAGAACCCTATCTCTGTGTGGTTCAGACCAGGACAGTAATGGCAACCTAAGACCGAATCAGCCTCGTAGTAAACGGCAGGATGCAAGAACCAATGCCCAATAGACAGCACAATCATGTCCATTTGATCCATTTCGCTTGCCCATCTCTCATCAACAATATCCAGATATAGCTTGTTATGATTTGGTCCTGTGCTTGATTTCTCAATACCTTTCACAAGAAAGGGAGACCAGTAAACTGAGAGACTCGCATTGTGAGATGGGAAGAACCACCTGCGAAATTTGTTGTCGTCACCGTTTCGGTATACGAGGTTAGGGGTTGACGCAGTGGCAAGAAGGCAAAGAAGGGACTCTAGCTGATTTCTGGCCATGGAATCTCCGACAAAGCTAAGTGTTTGTTCTTGAGAAGTTGTAGAAAAGCTGTAGGTTCGAATCTGGGGAGATTACATTGAGTGGGTTTCCATCTCCAGTAAAGATAACCCAGATCTGGTCTTCCATGGGCGATGCAGTTCTGGCCTTGTTTAATTGTACCACAAGTCGAACTATTATACAGAGGACCTCTCTGTCACGAACCCACTTGCCATTGAAGTAGTCACATGGAAAAATCGAAGCCTGCTCAGCTCTAGCTGCTTCTGCAATGAATATAGTCCCCAAAAAAAAACATCTTTCTGATTAGAATCTTAGACAAACAGAAAAAGGAAGGGGGAAACCCATGAATGATGAAATAGTTGTACCTGAAGAAGAAGATGGTGGTGAGGAGGAGGAGAGTGGGAGGAAGCGATGAAGAGGGTGGAGTGAGGGAGGTCGGTGGTTGGAGAAGGCAGAAAAGGAAGAGGGAAAAGAATAAGCGAAGGATAGCAATGGGAAGCAGAATATAGAGAGCCCATGGAAGCAATTTCTTGGTGAGACGAAGGGTTTGATCTTTGAATGAGTTGAGTGTTACCATTTTTCGCCAAGGCAAGGCCTTCTTGCTTCGTTCCCCTTTTCTTCTGCAATTTTCAAACTTTTTAATGTGGGTCTCTGGTGTCTCTCTACTCTCTAGGGTGGCGCTGAAAAGCGAATGAGCTCCAGATTCACAGTAACAGCAATTCCGCTACATATGTTCTATCTTTTTATCGCAGAAGCATTGTTCTTCCACTCTTGTCCTCTCTCTCTATCCGTCTGAGTTAATCATCACAGAAACATCTCTTCCGAAAGTGAAACTGCGAAGGAGAAGTGAAAGACATGTATATGCTATAGTATCTACTACTTCTTTAGAGGGGGGAGGGGGGAATTGATACTGAAAACAACACAATTTCCGTCGGGTTTGGGTTACTTAATCCAATCCTGAACTAAAAAGCTGTAAAGTTTGATTCATTTATTAAACTGAGATTCACTGGACTTACTAATAAAAACAAATCTAAGAAAATTTGCCCACTTGGCATCAAAATATCGGACTGGGGACTCACGTTCATTATTGAAGTTGACGGTGATGTTCGCCCATAATTGTAATAACTTTATTTTCATGTGTTATACTTGAGATTAAATTTGAAGGTTAATTAATGGAAAGAGAATTTAAAGCATGGCCAGTGGTTGAACCACTTTACTGAGACGTGCCACCTAAAAGGAAGAAAGAAGAAAACTGGGAGGAACACGGGAAAGGACCCCCGCGTTGCCTCGTCGCCTGAGGTTATAAATGCATATGCATGTTAAAAAGTCCATCTCCCTTTCTTTTTTCGTTATTACTAAGAAAAAAAACTCTCTGGCTCCCAAAATTTGTCTTATATTTAAAATTGAAAAAATCCTATTATAAAGCTCAATATGTTTGTATTCTGTATTAATTTTAGTTGTTTCATTCTCGTAATACCCTTATAGTCTTATTTAATGTGGTATTTTCATATATCTTGCATAAAATTTTCATTCCTAGGCATTGAACGGTGTCCGGTGAATAATTTGAGCACCTATTACACCCAGGCTCAGCGCGCACATATAATATTGTTTGTATCTTAATTATTTCTAATTCTAAATATAAATTTTGGTTGTAATGTGCTCCTCCAGTCCTAAATATTTGTATGTAAATGGTCTTATATTTAGAATCAGATAAAGTATATCTGCTAACAAATATAACTTCTAGTCTAAAGATATCACGTTGAAGGGTACGTTATATTCAGGACAGGAGGTAAGATGATATGGTTAAATAAATAAATAAAAAAGTGTGGCTGGCTATTTGTTTGGACTATGGCATTCGCAGATCTAAATATAGCAAGGGGCAATAGGCTCAGCTCCACTTGGGTGCATCGATTCAAGAGTGTTTGGATGAAACCAATCATAGTTTGAAGAATAGTTTCTGGATAATAAATTTTTGTGAAAAAGTGATTCTGAGAAGTGAGACTGTTTGGATAGTTGTTATCAGAAGCACTTTTTATATACCAAATTAATTAAAAACATAAGTGAATATAATAGTTACATAAAGATAGATTTTATAATATATTTTAATTTGAAAGAATAAAATTATTAATAATATATTTTTTATACCAACATAATTAATAATAATTAATAGTGTATATATTTATAAGCTATGAGATAAATATGTTTATAAAAAATAATTGAGGGATGTTAAGTCATATTATTGTTGAGATCTACTCTAACAGATACAATCATACTTTCTAATTTGAGCCAGAAGCAAAATGAATTCATTTCTTCTGAACCATGGTTTGTCAATTTCTTCCCCCGTTTGGCAAGTTTGGAACCAAAACCATGATTTTGAAGGCTAGCCAAACAGGCCCTTATGCATATTATACTACTCACCTTGAAGATTCCTTTTCTATTTTCTTTGACTATAGTAATATTTGTGGTGGGGACCCCTTTTATTGAAAAAAAAAATCTTGTTTCATGTGGGATAAAATATTGAATTTTATTGCGTGTAAAAAATTATCTAGGTAAATTTTTGGAATAAAAAGTATGTAACAGAATTAAAGAAGAGGAATAAATTTAATAAAACTTTGAAATTTATGAGTTTTTATTTCAAAATGTGGTTTTTTTTTTATTTGGGCAAGACAAAGTCTTGAGTTTATTCGGGGGTATTTGGGTAATCCCATAATTACTTTTCAGAAGCATTTTTTTCACAAATCGAAGTAAATTCCTCCACATATTTGTTTCGTATACCGTAAAACACTCTGAAACTATGATTTTGTTCTTATCCAACACCCTAGTCTAAAGTCAGAATGGAACGTAGCCCACTTGTGGTTGCTACAGATCGAAATGTTGGTTTTAACGGGTTTCGTATATCGTAAAACACTTCTAAAATTATTATTTTGTTCTTATCCAAACACCTTAGAATCTAAAGTCAGGAATGAAATGCAGCCCACTAGTGGATGCTGCAAGATTGAAATTAGGGCTGTTCACGGGACAGGACGGGATCGGAACGACCCGTCCCGATGAATAGTAACGG